GCATTCTGACGCCGCTGGTGTGCAGACCCCTATTGAGAACCACTGATGTGGCCCAAGTACCTGCTATAAGGTAACAGAACAGCCCAGTGGTGATATTTGGTTTCACACGGTTACTGTTAGAAATAAGAAAACGAAGCCTGGAGAGAGAGGTGAGTGCCCCAGACCGAGGTCACCCAGGGGCCAGCAGGTGCGGCAGGATGAACCACCTCTCTCCTCCTCCCTAATCAGCTCCTTCTGCGGCATCCACTGCACCGCGAACAGCCGGCTGAGAGTCGGCTTTTGTTTTTAGTGAAAAGGCCAAGGAAACACTGCTGGCTGCATGCGCTTGCTAACAATGATCCTGATTAGCTTGATTCTGTCAGCTGACTCCCAGACTGCCAAGGGCCCAGCAGCCTGCTATTCAGTCGGGGCCTGGCCCGTTTTCTAATTACCAGTGTCATTTGGACTCCTTTCCTCCAACTGTGAATTCACTGAGGTTCAACTTGCGTTCACATGAGAAATGGATCCTTTGTCACATCTGTGTCTATGTCAGTGCTCCAGCCTCCTCTCCCTGTTGGAGACCCAATGAAATGGATGTGATGCTCCAGGTTCCCAGGCTGTTGCTGACCAGCGCAGGTCCCAATGGGAGCCACGAGGCAAGCCTGTGGGCTGACGGCCGCCCTGGCCTTCCTCAGCGCAGGCCAGAGTGACCTCTTCCCAGCTTCTGAATTCCTAATTGTGTTCCCACTCAGAGGCCTGATGGAATGACCACTTGGCCCAGCTTGCCAGGGACTAAGTTTTCCCAGGACATGGGATTTTTAGTGCCAATTCTTTGGAGGGCTGGTCCCCTTAAGCCTGGTGCATCACAGCACAGGCAGTGTGAAAACATTTAACAGTCCCTGAGTGATCTAGTTGGAATCTGGAACAGAGAGCTGACTAGAGTCAGGGTCCCATCTTCCTCTGTCAGGCCTAAGACGGATGCTGCATCTCTTCACTGCTCTGCATTTTATTTTGCCTTTAATCTCTATTGCTGATCCGATAGGATGAAGCATCACTTCCAAGAGTGGGTAAGTGGAGGTCTGCAGGCACATTCTGAGATGAGGGAGGCACCAAGGAATGAACGCCTCGTGTGTAACCATCCACAAAGTATTCTTCTCAATTCAAAAATACAGGTAGTATTTATTATGTACCAGGCAGCATAGGCAATGCAAGCTTATGTCATGTACACTCGCAGCCCTCAAAGAGGGAGACGCTGATACAATGAACTAGATCTGCTACAAGGCTGCCCGGGGGGTCCCTGAGATGCAAAGGCCATGGGATCTGGGGAAGAGAGCATTAGGTACCTCTGATTACTATATGCGGGCTACTTTACATTCATTATCTCACTTCACAGCTAACATTTCTTGAGCACCTACCATGTGACTAACCCAGTTAATTTTTACAACAATTCTCTTATTATACTCATTCTATGAATGAGGAAAGTGAGGCTTTGTAAAGTCAACTTATCTTGCTCAAGGTTGCAAGTTAGTAAAGGAAGTCTCCAGGGTCTGAACCCAGAGAGTTGGCTTTTTCCCTGACACTAAGACCGATTCTCTACCCTTGCGGGGCGCTGGACCCTCAACATAACCAGTGTGCTGGACAGCTGGTCCACATTGGACAAAGCAAGCGGGGGGCTCTGGGGGCGGAGGAGTGTGGGTGTGTTGGTGGAAGCATGGCGGGGGGAAACGGGAGCGGGGTCTCCGATTCTAAACTCCCACTGGAGGTGTGGGAGCCCTGGGAATGCTGGTGCTCTAAGGGAAACTGGCCAGACAAATGCTGTCCTCTGGCCCCAGCTGCATTCGAGTCTAAAGAATGTATGACTAGAATGTGAAGCCAAATGCCTCACTTTTTTGTCATCCTTCAAGGGCCAAAGATGAGTGGCAATCATTATTTTACATTTTTTAAGAGTGCATTTGTAAATTCTCAAAAGTATATCTTTCTTATGTACTTAAAACATCTGAGCAACTTACTTTGCATAGACTGGGTACTTGATATATGTAAATCAAATAAAAATGTGTTGATTTGATATGCAGTGACTGATTTTAATATGTGCATTGCAATAGTAGATTTAGAAGTTAGGCATTCGGCACTGTCAATTATTGAAAGCGTTCATTTCAGTAATAACAACCCACAAGTACAGTATTCCTAGTGGACACCAGGCTATACTAGGTATCCAGAGCCTGAAACTACACAGTTATTGTCCGTAGAAACATTCTCAATCATCTTTTTCTTTTACTTTATCAGTTTTGGTTTGTGTAAAATGAATATATAATTTCAGACAATTAAGCATTAAAAATACTTGCTATTCATATGCAAAAGAATTAAAATTAGTCTATGTAATAATAATTAACAAAGCATAAAGGTAGGAAGGATACTGTTTGAAGCAAGACTTAAAGAAGTATAAGTTTCAGAAAACAACAACTGATATCCTTCTTGCTCGCTTCCACTGCTAATAATTCCTGGTTAATCCAATTGTAGTCCCCCACCACACCCCCCC